GACTTTGTCCAGGGATTTATCAGACCTGGGACTGTAGTTTAAATATATATATGTATATTTATTGCAAATAAAGAGAAATAAAGTCAACTGTTTTATAAACACCGATATCTCACTAGTATGCAATTCTGTGAAGGTTGGGGGGGGGGAACCCATCGTTCTCCCTCTGAGGAGACAGTTTAATTCTTACAGAGTCCTCAACTTACGACTATAATGAAGCTTGACCATTAGAATCCTGAGGGTCATAAAACAGGTCATCCATGTCATCAATCCAATTTTATGTTTTGTTTTGTTTTTTGCAACAGCCCTTAAACAAATCAATGGTTCATTCTGGGCTGGTTTTGGCGAAAACTGGAAGTTTTCTATTCCATTCCATTTTCAATTCCATTCCATTTTCCATCCCATCCCATCCCATCCCATCCCATCCCATCCCATCCCATCCCATTCCATTCCATTCCATTCCATTCCATTCCATTCTATTCTATTCTATTCTATTCTATTCTATTCTATTCTATTCTATTCTATTCTATTCTATTCTATTCTATTCTATTCTATTCTATTCTATTCTATTCTATTCTATTCTATTCTATTCTATTCTATTCTATTCTATTCTATTCTCTTCTATTCTATTCCATTCCATTCCATTCCATTCCATTCCATTCCATTCCATTCCATTCCATTCTATTCTATTCTATTCTATTCTATTCTATTCTATTCTATTCTATTCTATTCTATTCCATTCCATATTTTCTATTCTATTCTATTCTATTCTATTCTATTCTATTCTATTCTATTCTATTCTATTCTATTCTATTCATTATTCTTGTCTGAGATATTATACATTTTCCTCGAGTGGGGGGTTGGACTAGAACAGGGCTTTCCAACCAGTGGTACGGGTACCACCTGTGGTACATTGGCCCCTGGGAGGTGATACGCAACCATCCCAGAAAAGTGGTAGTGGGGGAGGGGAATGAGCTGAACTGGTGGCAGCACTGCACAAGCCTGAGCGAGAGACGGCTGGAGCTGCAGGGCTGTCAGGGCTCAGTGGAAGCGCCAGGATCAGTGCCGCTTTCCAGCTGATTGGCGCTTCTTCAAGGCTATCAGGGCTCAGCGGAAGCACTAGGCTCAGCGCCAGGCTCCAGCTGGAGCTCGGCACTGATCTTGGAGCTTCTGCTGAGCCCAGAAGAAGCGCCGATCAGCTGGAATGTTGCAGCCTCTCCAGGGTCTTGTGATTTACATTCAGATGCTTGGCAACTGATTCATATTTATGACGGTCACAGTGTCCCAGGGTCATGTGAAGTGATCAAAACCTGCTGCAACCACCTAGCAGACGGGGGGGGAGAATAAAAACCAAACACCCCCCCACCCCACCCCTTCTGCCAATCCTCAACGGAAATGCTCACAACAATGAAAACCTTGGATAGGAGGAAGAGCACGCCAGGTGGGCAGGCAGGTGTCTTGCTCGGCTGTGCCTTGGGGGGCACTTTTTTCAGTGCCATTGTAACTTTGGTCACTAAGCAAACTGTTGTAAGTCGAGGACTACCTGTACTTTATCACTTTTTTCCTTTTTTTGGGGGGGGTCATCAAGTTTTTGAGACCTTGCTAGGCGACTGGTGGTCCTCGGATGTTGCCATATCCTAAAAGTGGTACAATGGGTGAAAAGGTTGAAAAGTCCTGTTCTATTCTATTCTATTCTATTCCATTCTATTCTATTCTATTCTGTTCTATTCTGGTAGTTTGCATTGTTTTCTGAGTAAGTGCTCTCTATTTTTTACAATGGTAAATTGAATTTTTGGTCTAGGACAGTGATTCTCAACCTTTCTAATGCCGTGACCCCATAATACAGTTCCCCATGTTGCGGTGACCCCTAAGTGGGTGTGGCCACCAATAAGAGGGAGTAGGACAGCTAGGGAAAAGGGAAAAAAATGGCGGACAGCATGGTTTGGTGACACCCGTGAAATGGTCATTCGACCCCAAATGGGGTCCCGACCCACAGGTTGAGAACCACTGGTCTAGGATCTATGATGTCCTTGGGCCACCTTGGATGAGAAATGCCAAATATTTGCTGGCACTTTAGAGGACCTGAACAAACCATCCTGGTTTAAGACACTTGGAGCCCTTTGGCGCTCAATTTTTCTTTCACCGTCTTTATGAAGGCTTGTTGCTTTTCGTAATACGCGGCCTCGTTCACAAAGGTTGGGTACACTGTCACTTCTCCGTCGTATGCAATTGTCCTTCCTTCCAGAGTCAAAAACATGGGATCACCTGGATTTAGCGGCCACCAGTCTCGGTCCTACGGAACAGGAACAAGATAATCTTGCAAAATAATAAAGCATGGTTGCTGGAATTGGGTATGTCCAGTTTAATGAAGAGAAGGACCAGAGGGGACATGATAGCAGTGTTCCAGGATCTCAGGGGCTGCCCCAAAGAAGAGGGAGTCAAGCTATTCTCCAAAGCGCCTGAAGGCAGGACAAGAAGCAACGGATGGAAACTCATCAAGGAGAGAAGCAACCTGGAACTAAGGAGAAACTTCCTGACAGTGAGGACAATTAACCAGTGGAACTCCTTGCCTCCAGAAGCTGTGGATGCTCCAACACTGGAGGTTTTTAAGAAGAGACTGGATTGAAATGGTATATAGAATCCTGGTTGAGCAGGGAGTTGGACTAGATGACCTCCAAGGTCCCCTGTTGTTTTATTCCAGGGGTAGGCAACCCAAAACACTCAAAGAGCCACTTGGACCCGTTTCCCACCGAAAACAAAACACTGGGAGCCGCAAAACCTTTTTGATATCTAAAATGAAGATAACACTGCATATATCCTTTTTTACCTTTATTATAGATGTGTGTGTGTACACACACACACACACACACACACACACAAGTAAAAAAGGATATATACAGTGTTATCTTCATTTTAGATGTCAAAAGGGTCTCTCTCTGTCTCTCTCTCCCTCCCTCTCGCCTATCTGCTGCTCATCTGGCAAGCTGGCTTCAAGCTGTTCTCCAACAAGCTCAGGGGTAGGCAACCTCAGCTCTTTTATGACTCGTGGACTTCAACTCCCAGAATTCCTGAGTCAGCATAGCTGAGCTAGCTAGCTCTCTCCTGCCCTTCCTGCTTCCTGCAGAGACGCAGCAAAGGGAGGAGCCCCGCCCAATAAGCTTTTCAGCTCCTTGGAGAACACTGTGAGTGCACTCTCTTTTACACACAGACACACAAAAACACACACACAAAAACACACACACACAGAGAGAGAGAGAGAGAGCGAGAGAGAGAGAGAGAGAGAGAAGCAGAGAAACGCAATTGCCTCTCTCTGTCTCTGTCTCTCTGCAAATGGCAGAGGAAGCTGGGAGCCACAGGGGAAGGCTCAAAGAGCCGCATGCGGCTCCGGAGCCGCAGGTTGCCAACCTGTGGTCTATTCTATTCTAAATGTGCCACAATTTGGATTAAGGCTGTTTAAAGGAAGACTGAAGTACACTTCAAGAGTTATCGTTTAACCCCTAATAAACAGCCCCTACTAACAAGCCGAGCTTCATCCGTCACTGCTTTTTAAGCATGCTGAAGATAAACACAGGCCCATCCTCTGACCAAAATTACTGTTAAAAATAAAATTAAAGAGTTAATAAAATGTGGGAGCTTCCGGTGGGAGGCGACGGCGATGGCGGCTAGCTTTTAGCCGTCCAGCTGGGGAAGTGTCAGAGCCGCGGAGCGCAGCGTGCATCAGCTGGCCCGCGGCTCGGAAATCCCTTCCCGGGCAAAGGGAAGGGATAGAGAACGCAAGAGTAGAGGTAGAACCCCTGAACCCCCTCTGGATTTATTTCTAGAGGGGGTGAAAGGAGTGTTCCCTCGGAGCTCTTGCTGATCTCCGCCTCCCAGCTGTTTTTGCTTCCTTGGAAGCAAAAGAAACCGCCGCTTCTATCTCCGTGTTTACAGCATTTTGGTGAGTAATTTTTAAACGGACGGAGCAGTTTAAAGGACTTTTTCTTATATTTTAGGTGTTTATTTTTTTATCTTTTGATTTTTACTATTTTTCCTCCTTTTCTTTGTTATACTAGTGAAAGGACTTAAGATGGCGTTTTGAAAGTGTCGGAGTTTTTTTTTCCTTTCTCTTTTGTTTTACTTTCCCTTTTTAAGGATTGTTTTTTGCTTTTGCTTTTGCTTTTGGCTTAGAATTTTTTTTTTTGAATTGTTTGCTCTTTTATTACTTATTCTTGGGATTTATTCTGGACTTTTAATGATTATAGTTTGTCTCTTTTTAAAAATTCTTTTTTTCTTTTTTTCCTCCTCCCTTTTTGGCTGGAGGGGAAAGGGAAGTGACAATTGTGCTTTTTAAAATGGCTTCAAAGAGGCAGCAGCCTTCCTCAGTACCTAAGGTTATTTCTTCTCCTATAACTTCCACTGCACAGCTACAACAACAATCTAAACATGCACCACCGGCTCAGCCACCACCCTCCCCTCCTCTACCTGGACTTTCAGTGCAAGAGGTTAGAGGCATAATGGGAGAGATTGTAGTTCAAATGAGAGAGGAAATGACTCAATTTGTTTCACAGATTAAATCAGAAATTAAATCTGATCTCAAAGAAGAGATAACGGGGATAAAGTCTAAATTGCAAGAAAATAATAATGAATTACGACAAGATATACTGGCAGCTGTTTCAGGTTTGGCTACTGTGGTGGTTAAGCTCGATGCAAGGCTTGAGGAAGTGGAAGACAAAGTTGACTCTTTAGATGACAAAATTCAAGACGTGGAAAGGAAGGTGGACTCCTCACAAGAAGATATTTTGATGTTTCAATACAGACAAATGGAGTATGCTCTGAGGATTAGAGGCCTCAAGGAAGATATGAATCAAGATTTGATGGAGGTGGTTCTTAGTGATCTGGCGCTGGCTTTGGATATGGATAAAGGAGAATTACAGAGAGAAGTAGAAAAAATTTATAGACTCAACTCCTGGATTGCTAAGCAGAAGAATTTGCCCAGAGATGTGGTGATTTACTTTACAAAGAAGTCCCTGCGGAATGAGATTATACAAGCTTTTTACAACAAAAGATTTCAGATTGCCGCCCAAGATGTCATCATTCTAAAGGAAATCCCATCTAAAATTTTAAGAAGTAGGAAAGACTTTGCTTTTTTAACCAATGAGCTTAAAGCTAGATCGATGCCATTCAGATGGGAAATTCCGATGGGTATCGTTTTGAGCCATGCTGGGACACGTTACAGATTGAACACAGTTGACAAAGCTAGAGATTTCTATACTTCGGTCCTGAGTGCAGGCTCAACTTCATCTGGTCGGAAATCTTTGAGTGCTAAGGAACCTGAGCAGCAATCTGAGGCACTAGATTTGGTTTCCGCAGGGATGATAGAAGTGGCAAAGCAACGCCAAACGGAGGCTAAAGAGCAGAGGATGACTCGTGCAGCTTATAAGCGTAAAGAGAAAGAGCAACGTAAAAAAGAGCCCAAAGAGAATTCTCCTGGAAGTGCATCACCGCCGGTGGGAGGAGCAAGACCCAAGAGTTATGCAACACACGCAGCTCTGTCAGAGTTTGATGGTGTCTTCTCCAGGCTGCGTGCCAAGGGAGATGGCAAAGTTTTTGACCTGGAATGTTAATGGATTGAATTCTCCTCAGAAACGGAAAAAAATCTTTTATTATTTGAAACAACATACCAATGATGTTATTTGTTTACAGGAAACTCATATTCTACTTAAAGATCAGAAATATTTAGTTAATGCTCGTTTGGGATCTCATTTTATATCTCCTGCACCTGGGAAGAAAGGGGGAGTTGTTATATATGTCAAACAAAACCTGCCAGCTTGTCTGGTAGAATCAGATCCCCAGGGGAGATATGTGATGATTGAACTTGGTATTTATGGTAAGAAAGTACTTATAGTTGGACTTTATGCTCCAAATCAACAACAGGAACAATTTTATAAACAGTTACACCAAAAAATAACTTTGCTTGATTATAGATCGGTGGTATTAATGGGTGATTGGAATGGTGTCTTAGATACACAAAGGGATAAGAAAGGTTCCTCTCCTTTTCTTAAACAAGCAAGGCTACCTAAAGCCTTTTTTGATATGAAAGAAGACTGGGAATTAAGGGACTATTGGCGGGAACGTAATCAAGAGGAGAGAGACTTTACTTTTTTTTCTGACAGACACCAATCTTTTTCAAGAATTGACTTTTTCTTGATTACCACGGATTTGTATAATAAAGTAAAGAATGTAAAGATTTTTCCTAGATCACTGACGGATCATAGTCCAGTTTGGATGGAGTTGATTCAAGAGAAAGAGGAAAGAAGATCCTGGAGAGTTAATGAAAATTTGTTTAGACAAGAGAAGAATGTTCAAAAACTAAAGGAGTGTTTAAAGGACTATTTTGCTTTGAATATGTATAAGGGGACTTCAATGTCAATGGTATGGGATGCAGGTAAAGCATTTATGCGCGGTGTTTTGATAAAAATGAATAATTTTTATAAGCGAAATCAGACTCAGAAACGTAGAGAACTTGAAGATGAAATTAAACTAAAAGAAAGGGCTTTGATTCTAAATCCTTCTGATGAAAGTACTAAAGAATCTGTAAAGTTATTAAGGTCACAATTTAATATGTTGATAGCAGATCAAGCTGCAACCAATTTATTATTTATGAAACAAAATACATTTTGTAATGCTAATAAGCCGGGGAGATGGTTGGCTTATCAATTAAGAAAGAAACAGAGACTGAGAATAATAGAGAAAATAAATTATAAGGGTAAACTAGTTTCTCAGAAGGAATTAATTAAAAAATCTTTTTTGGATTATTATCAAAACCTATACAAATCTACTAATGTACAACTGTTAGATATAAATAAATATTTAGCTGAGGCAAGTTTTCCTAAACTGACTGAGGATCAGAAATATGAAATTAATGGTTTAATTACTAAGGAGGAAATCGCCTCAGCAATTCAACAATTGAAATTAGGGAAAGCACCGGGTACGGATGGGTTAACAGCTGTTTATTATAAAGCTTTAATGGAGGAGATGATTCAACCATTAAATGATCTTTTTAATGGTATCTTACAGGGTTTAGAGATTCCTCCTTCATGGCGTAGTGCTTTTATATCATTGATTCCAAAGGAGGATCAAGATCTTACTTTACCAAAAAACTATAGGCCTATATCTCTTTTAAACGTGGATTATAAGATATTTGTAAAAATTTTGGTAAATAGGCTTATGAGGGTGGTGCATCATCTTGTGCATAAAGATCAATCAGGGTTTATAACAGGAAGGTATATGAAAAACAATGTTAGACAAATTATTAACTTATTAGAATACTTAGATAAGAACAACCAAGTTCCTGCAGGGCTCATATTTTTAGATGCTGAAAAAGCATTTGACCAACTGAATTGGCATTTTATGCTAAGAGTAATGGAAGAAATGAATTTTGGTGAAAACATATTACAAGCCCTTAAGGTAATATATCAAAAACAAACAGCACAACTTATTGTTAATGGAGGTTTGTCGGAGGTTTTCACAATAGAGAAAGGTACTAGACAGGGGTGTCCTTTATCGCCATTGTTGTTTGTTTTAACATTGGAAATATTATTGATTAAAATTCGAGAGTCTCAGGAAATTAAAGGAATATATGTTAATAAAAAAGAATATAAGTTGAGAGCTTTTGCGGATGACTTGGTTGTTACTTTGTCGCAACCTGATTATTCTGTAGTAAACTTATTACAGTTGATTCACCATTATGGTTTGGTCTCGGGTTTTAAGATTAATGTAAATAAGACTAAAATTTTACCTAAAAATTTGTCGAGTCAGGAGAAGCAGATTTTGGTTAACTCGACGGGTTTTGAGATTGTTAATAAGGTAAAATATTTGGGGGTGATGCTGTCTGTTTCTAATGCAAAACTATTTAAAAATAATTATGAAAGGTTGTGGGTCGGGGTACAGAAAGACTTGAAGAATTGGGAAAAGCTGCAATTATCCCTCATGGGAAGAATTGCAGTGATAAAAATGAATATTCTACCCAAGTTTCTTTTTTTGTTTCAAATGTTACCAATTTTGAAAAATGAGATTAATTTAAATGAGTGGCAGAAGGGTCTCAATAAATTTATTTGGGCAGGGAAAAAACCAAGGGTTAAGTTCAAAATTATGCAAGACTTCCGTGAGAGGGGCGGACTCAAGGTACCAAATTTGAAATTATATTATGATGCGGTGGTTTTAACATTAATTAGTGACTGGGTAAATTTGACAAATTCTGAGATACTTTATCTAGAGGGATGGGATTTACTTTATGGGTGGCATGCCTATTTAATATTTAATAAAAAAATAGATTGGGCTTTTAAATCTCATATTTTAAGAATTTCTTTACTTAGGATTTGGAGAAAATATTATAAAAGTGATTTTAAAGTACCATTATGGGCTATACCTTGGCATGCGATAGAAGGAATAAAAAGAGGGGTTAAAATGGATATGGTGTCTTACAGACAGTTACTTAAATGGGATGGACAAAACTGGCAATTAAAATCACGGGAAGAATTAGCACAAGAAAATTTTACTTATTCTTGGTTCCAATATAGGCAACTACTAGATAGATGGAAGATGGATTGTAAGGTGGGTTTTCTTAGAGAAGATGAAAATCTTATTAAGCAACTGAAGGATCAAAGACAAACCCACATTAAGAGAATTTATGGGGTTTTAGTTGAATTGGACTCAGAAACGGAACTAATTAAAGATTGTATGATTAGATGGGCGCAGAACTTTGGTGAGCCAGTTTCATTGGACACCTGGGAAACTATTTGGGTGAGAAATGTCAAATTTACTCAAGCACAGAATCTAAGGGAGAATTTTTATAAAATGTTTTATAGATGGCACCTTGATCCACAAAAAATGTCTTACATGTACCCTGACGTGCAACCTAAATGTTGGAGATGTGGTTATAAGGAGGCTTCCTATTATCATATTTGGTGGTCATGTAGAGAGATAAAAGCATTTTGGATCAAAATATGGTGGAATATCCAGAGAATTTTTAGAAGGAGGGTAAAATTTACTCCGCAATTATTTTTGTTAGGTATTGTTACAGATTGTGATACAAAGGAGGTTGTATTGATGTTAAACTTGATCACAGCCGCGAGGCTGTTAATTGGACAATATTGGAAGAAGGAATCTTTGCCTACATTGCAGGAATGGTTTTTTAAAGTAGCTTATCTGGCAGAAATGGCAAAGATTTCGGCTTTCTTAAAGCAACAAACGCAAGAGAAGTTTTTTGCTATCTGGGACAAATGGATAAAATTTATACAATTTAGATTGGGTATACAAAAATATTATATAGCTTTTTCATAAGTTTTATTTTTATATATATTATAGATATCTTTTTTATATATATAAATATAAAGTTTTTAATTTAATTTTTATTTTTTTTTTTTATTTTTTTTATTATTTCTTAAGCCTATATTCTGCTCTGGGAAGCTCAGGGGGGGGGAAGGGAGGGTTTTTGGGAGGGGTGTGGGGTGGGGGTTTTTTTTATATGTATTGTTTAATTTTTTTTTCTCTTTTGTATTGTTGTTTTTTGTATCTTTTGTATTGTTCTTGTATTGTTTTTTGTAAAATTTATAAAACTTTTAATAAAAAAAAAAAAAAAAAAAAAAAAAAAGAGTTAATAAAATGTGAAATAAACAAACTCAAAGAGCAGACTCCATCGACCGCTAGGTCCTTTTTTTTTTCTTTTTTTTTCCTGCTGTCGGGTTTTCGACATTTCTAGGTTTCTAACTAAGCAGGGCAAAACCAACCTGCACCCTTTTCGGTGGGGCAGACTTCAGTTCAAGGACAGGAATTCAAGCTTTGGCAGATTCCGATGCATTTAATGTCTTGGGCATCGGTTTAGAAGGGTCCTCAGTCCTGTGTTAGCCATGCACATTTCATTTGGTGGAGAGGTGGGCATGATTTCATTTAAGGGGACCTTGGTGCTCTCTGAGCTTGTTGTTTTTTAAAAAAAAACAGACGTTTCCTTGCCCAGCTAGGTAACATCATCAGGGCTAGAAGGGAGAAGGAGGAGGAGGGCTGGGGGGGTGTCCTTGGTGCTCTCTGAGCTTTTTTTTTTTTTTTTTTACAGATGTTTCACTGCCCAACTAGGTAACATCATCAGGGCTAGAAGGGAAGAGGGGGAGGAGGAGGAGGAGGAGGAGGAGGAGGAGGAGGAGGAGGAGGAGGAGGAATCTATGGGGTTCTTGGTGCTCTCTGACTTTGGTGGTTTTCTTGCAGATGTTTCATTACCTGTCTGGGTAACACCATCAGGGCTAGACAGGAGTGGGTTTGCTGGGAGGAGGAGGAGGAGGAGGGGGGGGGAGGAAGGGGACGACTGGGCTCCTTGGTGCTCTCTGGTGAGGGTTTTTTTGCAGACATTTCATGACCCAACTAGGTAACAACATCAGTGCTACAAAAGAATGGGGTTTGCAGAGAAGAAGAAGAAGAAGAAGAGGAGGAGGAGGAGGAGGAGGAGGAAGAGGAGGAGGAGGACGACGACGACTGTGGGCTCCTTGCTGCTCTCTGACTTTGGTGGTTTTCTTGCAGACGTTTCATGACCCAACTAGGTAACAACATCAGTGCTACAAAAGAATGGGGTTTGCAGAGAAGAGGAGGAGGAGGAGGAGGAGGAGGAGGAGGAGGAGGAGGACGACGACGACTGTGGGCTCCTTGGTGCTCTCTGACTTTGGTGGTTTTCTTGCAGACATTTCATGACCCAACTAGGTAACACCATCAGGGCTAGAAGGCAATGTGGGGTTTGCTCTCTATTGATATACAACTGGCTCGCCCTGTCAGTGCAATACCCCAATCAAAGAACTACCGATTCAGACAAACAACCAATCAGCAAACAGCAGCCTAACCCCGGAACCACCAAAACCCCACCCAACAACCCTGACAGGGCAAGTCACATAAATGTAAACACAGAGCAAACGCCACATTTCCTATACAGGTCGTCTTCAATTTACAATCATTCATTTAGTGACCGTTCAAAGTTACAACGGCACTGAAAAAAGGGACGTATGACCGTTTTTCCCACTTACGACCATTGCAACTTCCCCGCGGTCACGTGATCAAAATTCAGCTGCTCGGCAACTGGCTGGTATTTATGACGGTCGCAGCATCCTGGGGGGGGTCACGGGATCCGCTTTTGCGACCTTCTAACAAGCCAAGTCTATGGGGAAAGCCAGGTTCATGTAACAACCGTATGACTAACGTAACAGCTGCAGTGATCCACTTAACGACGGTAGCGGGAAAGGTTTTAAAATGGGGCCAATCGCACGTAACAACTCCGGAATATAAATTTGGGGCTCAATTGTGGTCATATGCCGAGGACTACCTGTACAATACACATTAGATCTACCACCACCGCTATTAAAAATAGAATAGCAATCACATGTGTTTACCTGTAAATCAGGGTGAATGACAGCCATAATCTCATTTTTTGGGTTTCTGGGATAGTCAACTTTCTCCAATAGTTTATAAATCTCAATAGTGCACGGAGGGAATTCCTGACCTACAGAGAAAACAGTGCATTATCTTCAACTGTTTATGATAAATGACTGACTTTGTTTTAAAGATGCCATTCCTGATAATGTTTAAAGCAGGCGTCTTCCAACTTGGCCCTTTTGTGACTTGTGGACTTCAACTCCCAGAATTCCTCAGCCAGCCAAGTTTGAAGATCCCTGTCTTAAAGCCTCCTGGCTGAGGAATTCTGGGAGATGAAGTCCACAAATCATAAAACGGCCAAGTTGGAAGGCCCCTGTCTTAAAGCATCCTGGCTGAGGGATTCTGGGAGTTGAAGTTCACAAGACATAAAAGGGCCAAGTTGGAAGACTCCTGTCTTAAAGTATCCTGGCTGAGGAATTCTGGGAGTTGAAGTCCACAAGTCATAAAACGGCCAAGTTGGAAGGCCCCTGTCTTAAAGCATCCTGGCTGAGGAATTCTGGGAGTTGAAGTTCACAAGACATAAAAGGGCCAAGTTGGAGATCCCTGTCTTAAAGCATCCTGGCTGAGGAATTCTGGGAGTTGAAGTCCACAAGTCATAAAAGGGCCAAGTTGGAAGACCCCTGCCCTAAAGCCACTATGATGGATTATTTGGTTAAAGCAAACTAAAGCTGTAAGTTGCAATTAGATCCCTTTGAGGAGTGGGAAATTCTCAATAATGCTGTACCTGCGTTGAATTTGGCAACGAAATCCAGCCCGTGTCGAACGATGTTCCTCATTTTAGCCAAAATGTCGGCCCTCAGGACTCCTTGGGGCTGTGGACCAACTTCAACACCTGGAGAAGAAACCAAGGAACAGTCACTTCCTCTTTTGGGGGGACCCCAGAGAAGACAGGATCCCCCTCTGTGGGGCGGCCCTTGAGGGATGCGTTCAGTGTCTAGTTTTTATTATTATTTTTTAAATAATGTATGGCTCATGTATCATTTTATTTACTATATATTCATTAATATTGGGCAATATTTATAAATACGGTATTTTCTGGCATACAGGACGACTCGGCGTATAAGACGACCCCCGACTTCGGCGCCGGTTTCCATGCCTAGAAACTACCGTAATTTCCGGCGTATAAGATGACTCAGCGTATAAGATGGCTCCCGACTTCGGCGCCAATTTCCATGCTTTAGAAAGTCGTCTTATACGCTGGAAAATATGGGTATTTATATTTACGTCATTTATATATTGCTACTAGGCTATATGAATATATATAGTAAATAAAACGATACATTGTTTTAATACATAGTTTAAATTAAAACAATATTTATAAATATATTTACCTCATTTATATATTAATTTCATGTAAATTGTAGATTAAAATTATTAATATTTCAACCAATAATATGTAGCAAATAAAACAATGCAGGCTTTTAATATATAATTGATATTATATAGATAGTTGATAGATAGATAAATTATAATATATACTATAAATTAAATTAATATTTTATTTATCTTGCTTAATATTTTAATATCTTATTTAAATTATATGATAAAATGATTGATATATTAATATAAATTTATTAAATATAAATATATTAATAATCATATATGAATATGCAATAAATAATACATAAAATAATACATAATTTTAATATATAATTTAAATTAAATCAATATATAAATTATATATATAAATATTTATAAATATTCCTCAACTATATATGAATATATAGTAAATAAAATAATACATATTAATATATATATTTAATTTAATATGTGTGTGTGTATATATATATATATATATATATATATATATATATATATATCAAAATTAGATATTATTTTATGTAATATGTATTCATATATATCAAATTATTGATATATTAATATAAATTTATTAAATATATTATTAATATATTAATAATATATGAATATATAGTAAATAATACACAAAATACCTAATTTTAATATATAATTTAAATTAAATCAATGTATACATTATATACATAAATATTTATAAATATTTCCCAACATTAATATATGAATATATAGTAAATAAAATAATACATATTTATATATATTTAATTTAAATTATATATTAAAATTAAAATTAGGTATTATTTTATGTAATATATATTCATATGTATTCGTATCAATAATTTTAATATATAATTTAAATTACATTAATATATAAATGATATGTATTTATTTATTATTTATGAAATTTGCAGGTAGTCCTTGACTTACGACCACAAGGGAGCCCAACAGTCCCCTTGCTAAGCAAGGCGCTAAGTGAGTCTTGCCCCACTTGAGGACTTTTTCAGCCATGGTTGTTAAGCGCATCACTGCCGTTGTGAACCGCACCTGGCTTGCCCGATGACTTTGCTTGTCGGAAGCCGGCTGGGAAGTTCACAAAATTGCAATCACACAACAATGCAACTCTGCAACTGTCGCGAATGCACGCTGGGTGCCAAGCGCCCGAATTTGGATCATTGGTGACCGATGGGGATGCTGAGAAGGGTCGTAAGTCCGAGGACTGGCTGCAAGTCACTTCTTTTTCAGCGCTATTGCAACTTTGACCAGTCGTTAAACAAACGGTTGTCGTAAGTCAAGGACCACCTGTACTGATTTACGGAAATGTATCTAGAAACCCAAAGACATTGGCTAAAAAAACCCGGAAGGGGCGGGCTCATCAAAATCATATTTACCAATTGGATGCTTTGATATCGACCGGGTGGTGGCGTATTTCAAATTAGGATGCTCAAGAAGTAAGACCGGACACCTGTCTGGCGACACAGCCTCCTGCAGAAAACATTTGTTTCATACTTACGACCACAGGTTTCCGTCACTAAGCAAGACGGCTGTTAAGCAGTGAGCTCTGAGCCATTTTACAACCTTTCTTGCCCCCGTCGTTAAACAGATCGCTGCCCTTGTTAAATCAGTCACACGGTTGTGAAGTGAATCTGGCTTCCCGGTTGACGTCGCTTGCCGGAAGTTTGCGAAAGGAGATCACTGACCCCGGGAACACTGCAACCGTCGTAAGTACATGCCAGTTGCCCAGACTCTGAATTTTGATCACGTGACTGCGGGGAATGCTACCACTGTGAAAAGGGGTCAGAGGTCACTTTTTTCAGTGCTGTTGTAACGTCGGTGACTAAACGAGCTGTTGTTACTTGAGAACTACCTATACCAAGGGTCTTCCAACTTGGCCCTTTTATGACTTGTGGACTTCAACTCCCAGAATTCCTCAGCTAGCGTGCCTGGCTGAGGAATTCTGGGAGTTGAAGTCCACAAGTCATACAAGGGCCAAGTTGGAAGACTCCTGTCTTAAAGCCTCCTGGCTGAGGAATTCTGGGAGTTGAAGTGCACAAGTCATGAAAGACCCAGTTGGAAGACTCCTGTCTTAAAACATCCTGGCTGAGGAATTCTGGGAGTTGAAGTCCACAAGTCATCAAAGGGCCAAGTTGGAAGACCCCTGTCTTAAAACATCCTGGCTGAGGAATTCTGGGAGTTGAAGTCCACGAGTCATAAAAGGGCCAAGTTAGAAGACACCCCCCCCCCGTCTTAAAGCCTCCTGGCTGAGGAATTCTGGGATTTGAAGTGCATAAGTCATGAAAGACCCAGTTGGAAGACCCCTGTCTTAAAACATCCTGGCTGAGGAATTCTGGGAGTTGAAGTCCACAAGTCATAAAAGGGTCAAATCGGAAGACCCCTGTCTTAAAGCATCCTGGCTGAGGAATTCTGGGAGTTGAAGTCCACGAGTCATAAAAGGGCCAAGTCTGAAGACCCCTGTCTTAAAGCATCCTGGCTGAGGAATTCTGGGAGTTGAAGTCCACGAGTCATAAAAGGGCCAAGTTGGAAGACCCCTGATTTATACAAACATTGATGCTGTGCCAGCTGGCACAGACGGGATACGAAAACCCGAGTGCAATTGTTCAGCAACTGCTTTGTATTCAGACAAATAGGACGTTGTTGGAAAACGCACAAGCCTAGTGTGCCTTGTGTGTTAGATCATAAGAGCAAAGCCTGCCGCAATTAACTTTGCTGCGTGTCGGGATTAATGAAGGCTGTTGCAGCGCTAATTCACCAACCGGAGAAAATTACAGCTTACCAGGTTATCTTGAATGTTGCAAACGAGCTGAGCAAAAGTCACACAGCCAATGATTTTCAGGGGCATCTGCCCAGGGGTGAGGGTGGGGTATATGTCAAAATCTTCAAAATGTCAGGTGCTTCATTGCAATCCAAGCCCACCTGTTTGGCTTATCCGTGTGGCACACATTTTATTTATGAAATGGATTTCTTTATTAAATGTATATGCTGCAACATCTCACCATTGAAGAGATTCTGGGCAGTTTACAAAATTATTATGTGATTACACTTTAGAATAGAATGGAATGGAATGGAACGGAACGGAATGGAATATAGAATAGAATGGAACAGAATAAAAAAGATGTTGAGACTCCAGAAAGAGCGCAGAGAAGAGCAACAAAGAACGGTTGCTGGAATTGGGAATGTCTAGTTGAATGAAGAGAAGGACAAGGGGGGACAGGATAGCACTGTTCCAATATCTCAGGGGCTGCCCCAAAGAAGAGGGAGTCAAGCTATTCTTCAAAGCATCAGAAGGCAGGACAAGAAGCAACGGATGGAAACTCACCAAGGAGAGAAGCAACCTGGAACTAAGGAGAAACTTCCTGACAGTCCGAACAAATAACCAGTGGAACAATCTGCTTCCAGAAGCTGTGAATGCTCCAACATTGGAAGTTTTTAAAAAGAGACTGGACAGCCATTTGTCTGAAATGGTATAGAGTTTCCTGCCTGAGCAGGGGGTTGGACTAGATGACCTCCAAGGTCTTTCCCAACTTTATTATTATTATTATTATCGATCATCGCACAGTCAGCCAGATGTTCAGACTGGATTTGGCATTTTGTCTACCTATCGAGTCCTTACCCAGGACCTGGGATAGGCAGATGTGGATGTTTGATGGTATTACCGATATCGTCGCAGGATGGAAGCAGTTCCTAATAAGGCTGCCTTTTGCAATTGACTAATAGCGAATTTGTCAATGCCAATGGTGTTCAAGTGGTGCTCCAGTTGTTTTGGGATTGCACCCAAGGAGCCTATGACTATTGGTACTACCCTTGCTTGCGTTTGCCACAGTCTTTCTAGTTCTATTTGTAGGTCTTTGTATTTTGTTATCTTCTCCAGTTCTTTCTCTTCTATTCTGCTATCTCCAGGCACTGCCACATCCACTATCCAGACTTTTTTTTCTTTCTTATAGACAATTGTTAAGTCTGGGGTGTTATGTTGCAGGTGCTTGTCTGTTTGAATTCTGAAGTCCCAGAGCCGTTTAATTTTATCATTTTCTATGACTTTCTCTATTTTATGATCCCACCAGTTTTTGCTTACAGGCAAATGATATTTTTTGCAGATCTTCCAATGCACCATTGTTGCTACTTTGTCATGCCGCTGCTTGTAATCAGTTTGTGCAATCTTCTTGCAACAGCTTACCAAATGGTCCACTGTTTCTTCAGCTTCTTTGCATAGGCGGCACTTACTGTCTGTTGCAGTCTTCTCAATTATTATTATTATTATTATTAGTAGTAGTAGTAGTAGTAGTAGTAGTAGTAGTATTATCATCATCATCATCATCATCATTACTATGGATCATCGCACAGTCAGCCAGATGTTCAGACTGGATTTGGCATTTTGTCTACCTATCGAGTCCTTACCCAGGACCTGGGATAGGCAGATGTGGATGTTTGATGGTATCACAGGGTGGAAGCAGTTCCTAGTAAGGCCGCCTTTTGCAATTGACTAATGGCGAATTTGTCAATGCCGATGATGGTGTTCAAGTGATGCTCCAGTTGTTTTGGGACTGTACCCAAGGCGCCTATTACTATTGGTACTACCCTTTCTTGCTTTTGCCACAGTCTTTCTATTTCTATTTGTAGGTGTTTGTATTTTGTGATCTTCTCCAGTTCTTTCTCGTCTATTCTGCTGTCTCCAGGCACTGCCACGTCCACTATCCAGACTTTTTTGTCTTTCTTATCGACAATTGTT